TTGTGACCTTGACATTATAGATAGGATTTTTTTTTTTAATTTAAAGATAATAAGACTTAATTCACTAAAATTTATTCTACGGGGATATTTATACTTTTATACTTTTTTAGGTATCGTATTTTATCAGCTGATAGTTTAATGCCTAAGTTTCCCTTAAAAATAGCAAATAAAATTGTGTATTTATGAATGAGCAGAGCAACTGTTAATATCTTAAAATGCATGCAAAAGCTCTTGGCAACACTGGGCTTGGTTAGTGGCCAGGGTGGAGCTGGGCCATCCACCCGTCTGTCGCGTCCGGCCTGGGACTGGCGAGGGAGTTAGCAGCACGTGCCCGGGGACAAGATCATCTCTGAGTGACTTATTTTAAAGGACCGATGCCTCCTCAGGTTTAGCATGCCCACCTGTCTGGTCTCTTACTCTGGCCAGTAACACCAGCTTCAAATTCCTTCACGTCCTTGGGCACCGCAAGCCTCCCACCCCCAATGCCACCCTCCCACCGTCGCTCTGGCTCCCACTGGTGGCTGCTGTGTGACAGCTCCTGGGGTGCTCGCACGCCTTAGGGAAAGTCCTGTCCGGTGTCCCGTAGAGAGCTCTCTCCCTGAGGCTGTCTAGGATGCCCTCCATCACAAGGTTTTGGATCTCCGGCATTCCAAACTTCCAGCCTGTTTCCAGGGTGTGTCTGTCCTGTTTCCAGTGTGGGGCCAGCCTGGCCAGGGGCCCCAGAGCCCTGGGTGGGGGCCTGTTCTGCCTTCCCGGGCTGAGGGCAGGAACTGCCTGCCTAGGGGCTGGACCCTTCCATAGCTCCATGTGCAGCCCCGGCACATGGCAAAGGACTCCACATTCTGCTCTGGGGAGTTTGCCTTCTAAACAGGCTACACTTGGCATCACACAGCTCCGTGATGTCAACAGCAAACCTGGACCTGCCTCTAGTGCCCTCTGCCAGGTGGGTACTTGGGAGAGGTTCCAGAGTGTCTTCGGGGTCTCTGTCAAAGTCCTCAGATTGTCTTCTGTTTGAGCCAAGGACTGGGAAGAAAACAGCCATCTAATCTGGGTCCTGAGGTTGATGAGGGAGCCCCGCCCCTTGGTCCTCATCCTCCAAGCACAGCCTGCCTGCCATGGGGTGTGTGAGGAGGGGCAGCCTCGGGACCTCCAGCCCTGTAGCTCCGGGGAGCCAGAGGACAGGACAGGAGGGGAAGGCAGGTGCTTGGTGTGTGCAGACTCCCTTTGAGGATCCCCAGCGGCTGGGCTTCCTGCAGAGCCCATGTCTGAAGCTTCCAGGGCTCTGCACAGGTGCAGGCACCACCCCTTGACCCCTTGCTTTGCCCCTCCGCTCCCCTGTGTTTACCTATGTCCACCCAACAGGTGCCTCTGTCATCTTTTGTCTTGCCCTGAGCTTGTGCAGTGGCGGCCGGGTGCCCTGTTACCCACTGGTCACTGAGCCCTACAGAGGCAATAAAGAGCCTATAGGGCCGCTGTTAGACCCACGGAGCCTGTGGCAGGCCTGTGGGCGCAGCGGCCCAGGTGCGCCTTCAGCGGAAGCAGCTCCACTCCGGCACCTTTGGAGCGAGCTGTGCTTCCCTGAGACAGACTGAAAATCTGACACGTGCACACACACACACACACACACACACACACACACACACACACAGACAGACAAACACACAGACACACACAGACAGACACACACACACACACACACAGACACACACACAGACACACACACAGAGACAGACACAGACAGATACACACACACACACACACACACCATGGGAGAGGTGAGGCTCTGGCTTTAGGGCTTTGATTTGCGTCCTCTCTTGTCTTCCCCTGCTCCGTGCCTCCTGAGCATCTGAGCTCTTGGTGGTAGCACAGACCTAGGCACACAGTCAGGCATCCTGCTACCTCAGAGCCATGGCTGACCTCTGGTCCTTGAGCCTAGAAGGGGCTGGGTATGGGCCCAGCATTTTCCTTCCTGGGGTTCCCGTGGGCTGGTCATATGCTTATGTGTGCACGCCCATGTGTGGGATATTTGGGATTTCTGGGCTTGGTTGTGGCCCACAGGAGGGGTATCTGGTCCCCCAACTCTTGCTTCACCTGTAAGCTGATGTGGTTCCTGCCCTGGGTTGGGCCTGCTCCCTCGGCCCCCTGTGGAGCAGCAGACAGTCTCCGGTTCTCCGGAGTGTTCTTCCTGCTGCCGACCTAGACCTGGTACTGCCGCACACCCCTTGGCAGATGGCTCTTGAGGTCCTGCTTGGAGACAGAGTGAAAGGTTGTGTCAGAGCCACGCCCCTGCCAAGGGTGGGAAAGGGGACTAGTGACAGATGGGGGCACGTCTCTCCTTAACCTCCGTTTACAACCAAAGTGGCCATGAGCTGTGAAAGGCATGGAATAAATCTGCTTTCCCTTTTACTCTCCTGGTCTCTCCAAGACTATTTGTCTTCCCCCTCCACAGCCCTCTGGTTGGGCATCTGCTCTGGGTCTGGGCGAGGACAGTGGGGGGCAGCCCAGGGCTGGGGGAACTGTGCCCCAGGTCATATGCTGGCCACCACCTTGGCTGTCTCAGGGACCCCACCCAGGACTCCAGACTCGCCCTCCCAGCCCAACTGGGCGTGGTGTCCCTGGAGGCCAGGGTGCCTGCCACCTGTGCCCCTCCTCCCCACTGGCCAGAGCCCTGCCCTGGGTAGAACGGGAGGGGGTGTTAATGGGGAAGAAAGCCGGGACCGAGGCTGGAGGAGGCAGAGAGGGTGGCAAGTCCTCTGAGAGGAGCCTGGTCTTCGCTCATCCCCATGAGTGAGGCTTCATTCTGGCCTCCCCACAGGGGCTGCAGAGGCCACATAATCTCTAATCACAGGGCCTGAAGCGTTCTTTTTGTTTTTTTTTATGTTTTTATTGATTTCAGAGATGATGGGAGGAGAGAGAGAGAGAAACAGTGATGAGAGAGAATCTGATCGGTTGCCTCCTGCGCACCTCCTACTGGGGATTGAGCCCGAAACCCGGGCATGTGCCCTGATCGGGAATCGAACCGTGACCTCTTGTTTCATAGGTCAATGCTCAACCACTGAAAAGGAATATTTCACACTCAGAACAGACACCAGGAGACAAAATGACAAGTGTTTACTCCCAGTCCTGTCCTCCTCCCCTTTAAGAGCAGACAGGAAGGAGACAGTGGGAGCAAACAAGCAATTCTATTAAAAGATTTCAAATCCCTACAAATATGATTAAAATCTAAATGGCTTTTGCTTAAATTTTTTTGGTTTATCAAAAGGCCTGTTTTAGTGACATATTAGTCCCCCAGAAAATAACCCCATACCCCCTTGTCAGTAACATACAGACTCAAGTTGACCAGTGAACTCATGGGCTCAGTGACTGCTGCTGCTGGCTCCTGTTAGTCCGCCGTGTCCAGCAGGGCAGGCAGGGCACAGAGACCCTTACATGATAGTGAGAGTTTAAGAGCCGCTAACAGCCAACTTCTCAAGCACCAACACCCTCAAAAGCCCCCCCACCCCCTCAAAAAGGAATGCCTTATTTCTAACCAGACTACTTGCCTCAAATGTGGCTCCCGGTGACCAGAGAGGGTTTTCTCCTTTAGAAAAAGCACACATATCCGCACACCCGTATATGTGATTTTTTAATTTTTGCATTTAAATATAAAAAACACTACTCTGATTTGTGTTATAAACGGAGGGCCAAGCAATGAGAACTTTTTCTTTGGAGGTAGGGCTACCCGTCCTGTCCCTTTATGCTAAGCTTGCCTTCCAGTGAGGGCACTTAGCCCCACGTCAGGGGAGCAGATCACTGCAAATGGGTCACAGATGGCAGGTAGGAGGGCATTTTCCTGCCTGCTGCCCCCCACCTTTCCTAATTCTCATTTTCATCAGAAAGCTGGTTATGCCCTGGCCTGCTTGGCTAGGTGGGTAGAGCGTCGGCCTGTGGCCTGAAGGATCCCAGGTTCAATTCCAGTCAAGGGCACATGCCTGGGTTTTGGACTTCATCCCCAGTAGGGGGCATGCAGGAGGCAGCTGATCAATGATTCTCATTATTGATGTTTCTATCTCCCTCTCTCTTCCTCTCTGAAATCAATTTAAAAAAAAAAAAGTTGTTATAACCTTTTAAGAAATGGAACTTCCCTGCAAAAGGGAATATCTAACCTAACCACAGAGCAAGCCCAGCCCTCCTATCCCCTTCAGTCACCTCCAAAAAGAAAAGGTCCTCCCCTCCTTCACAAATACTATGCTCACTGTCCACACAGCTCCGCCTGTTGGACAAACACCTGGTTAAGTGAAGCAGTGGTTATGTTTCCCCGCCACTAACACTAGGAAGCTTCAGTGATGGGGGGGAGGGGGGATGTGTGTGAAGTGACTAAGATCTTGACCCCTCTAACCCGGCCAAAGAAAGCAAGAGATATTAACTGGGCACGAGAAATAAAAAAGACCTTGATATTCTGCCCTTGAGTTACATTTGTTACGACGATTGAGGTGAGAGAGTGGGAACGGGATGAGGTAATTAGAAGGAGCTGGATGGTTGCGTGTCCAGTCCACTTAGTTTTTATTCTGGAAGGACTCGTCGCCTGTTCCGTTGAGAAGACACGTGCGGATGAGGGCGCCTGTCACTGTGAAGGGGTCACAGTGGGCAGAGGGGTGCCCTCCTTCAAAATACTCCTGGCCCCCAGCCCGGGGAGTGTGGATGCTGGCGGAGAAGTAGTTGATATTGGAGGTTTCATAAAGGGGGCATGGTCCCAGCCCCCCTTGGATTGTAGCTCGGATGTGGCACTGGTGCTGCCTGCTCAGCCTCTTGATCGACTCAGTATACAGTACTTCAGACCGGTCTCCTCTCGCATGGCCGTGGTGCTGAAGTTGGTGTGGCAGCCTGCGCCATTCTAGTTTCCAGGAGTGGGCTTGGGACCAAAGGTTATGGTCACTCCAAAGTCTTCATACACTCGGTGCAAGATGAAACAGGCCACCCAGAGATGACCTCCCATGTCGATTCCTTCACTGGGTTCTATCTGGAATGCCCACTGAGCAGGCATGACCTCGGCATTTGTCCCTGTGATCTTGGTGCCGGCATACAAGCAGGCCCGGGAGTGAGCCTCCACAATATCCCTGCCATAGGCGCTGTCTGCTCCCACGCTGCAGTAGTATGGACCTTGGGGTCCAGGGAAGCCATTGGAAGGCCTACCAAAAGGATGCTCATCTGTGCCCATGGGAGCATATTCCTACTCCATTCCAAACCAGGGATGCTGATTGCTCATCACGTCCATTATCTGTGTGCAGGTATACCTTAAGTCGGTCTCTGCAGATTTGCGGTTGTACTTTAAGACTTCACAGAACACCAGCTCGTTGGGGTCCTCGCAGAAGCATGGCAGCAGGAACGAGATACATGTCATGTGGGAGCCTTCAGACGTCATAGTACTAGAGCCATCAAAGTTCCACTCAGCAACTCTTCTGTGCTCCGGCTCACTGTCAGAGTCCCGGTCTGGCATCGCAGTCCTTCTCCGGTACCATCAATCCAGATGTACACAGCTTGACTGTATCACCCTGAGGCAGGGACACGTACACCTGCCTGCTGCCTTTGTTCAAGTGGAACTCGCTGAGGTGGACATGGTGGAGGTTGTTTTGGGGGATGAGCAGGCAGCAGGGGGGCAAGGCGGGCAGGCCATGAGAGCGAGGTGCAGAAAGAAGAGGAAGCTGGGAGCGCTGCTCCGACACTGCTCTGCTCCCATCCTCCGCTCTTGGCATGAAGCTTTTTAATACCTCCAGAACTAGGGGGAGGGGCCAGCCAGGCCTTTCTCCAAGGCTGCGGGACCCACGCCAGACCCTGGTCTCAGCCGGGAGGATCCAGAACTTGTTCCTATGGCTACCCTCAGGATACCTGTAGCCTGGGCCTTGGTGTACCTGCTGGCCCGTGAGGGACTGAGAGCCCATCTCTGGTCTAGAGAAGGAGTGTAGCAGACAGTCCAGTCCTCAGAGGGTCCAGAGCAGCCAGCAGGGGAGTGGGGCCACCATGAGCCTCTGCCAGTTGCGCCTCTGGGCCTGCCTGCCTGCAGGCAGGGATGTGCCCAGCAAAGTGGAACACGGAGAGGAGTTAAGTGTTTGTTCCCACTCTCCCCAGGCACAGTTCACAGCAGGTACTTGCTAAGTTCCTGCTGATTCATCCCATAAATATCCAGGCCCGCTTTCTTCATGGCACCAGGTGGAAAGCTCTGCCTGTGTGTACACAGGTGTGTGCACGGGCTTGCATATGTGTGGGTGTTTCCTTGTGCATGGGTGTGTGCATGTTACATACTAGTGAGCATGTGTGCATAAATATGAACATCTGTGAGTGGAGGCATGGCTATGCACACATGTCTCCATGAATGTGTATCTGTGGTGTGCTAGGGAGTGTGTGCATGGGTATGTGGTTATATGTGTGTGCAAGGCCCTCCTAGGAGTCTCATCCAGTTCATTATTGCTGATCACGGCAGGTAAGCCCAAGCACCTTTTGAGAGTCAGTCCACGTGGCGGGGAGAGCTGGCCCTGGCCACAGAAGAGGCCTGCTGTGGACCTGGGTGAGCCAGCCTGCGAACCTAACGTTGCCCGATGGTAAACATGCCATCCTGGCAGGGCCTGAGCACCCTGCGGGCCAGAGCTCCAGAGACCTGTTTGTGCTGGATTCCTGGTTTTGACAAGCTACCGCAGGGAGCGCTGAAGAGGGGCCAGGTCTTCTGCCGCCCGACCTGGCCTGCTGAGACTGCAGTTCCGGGATGATCTGTGGATCCAGTTATAATGGGAGGTAACCCGGATGTAGACACCTGGGTGCTTCTGGCAGGCACAACCCTCACCCCAGCTTGCAGCCACAACTGGCCCACAAGGCACACCAGAGGGCCCCCGAGTCTCCTGGTGGATATGGGCCCCAGATCCAGCCTCCTCCTGCAGCTTTGGACTCACCAGGGAGGAGGTGTAGGAAAAGGAGCTGGGGTCAAGGGGAACCTGGAGAGCGGGGAGCTTCTGGAGGGGCCCCTACCTACTCCGCACTGGGGTAGGAAAGGATGATTGTGGGGGCATCACCCCTGATGCTATTTGAAAAAGTATTGGGGTGATTCGAAATAGAAAGTGGGGGCTGTGAGTCCCCCAGGCCCCCAAAAGCGCTCTTCAGGCCCTGCTGCCAGGCCCCCATTCTTCCTGCTGGTTTGGTTGCTGCCCCTTGTGTGTAGGCCAGGGTGCCCTGGGGCAGCTCCTTTCTCACCGGAAGCCTTGCCCTCCACACACCCCCACCCAGTGTTGCCCCCAAATCACACTCCTCAGTACTCCTCCCCACCAGGTACCTCTCCACTCCCCTCTTGCCCTAAGGGCCCATTCCTGGCAGCTGGTACTGAGGTTAGGTTTTTATTGGAGGGGGAACATAAATAAAAATAACTTGCATTTGAAAGAAGAGAGAAATGGCTATTTACAAATGTACATGTGGGCTCCAGGGGTTACACTCCCCTGCCTGCCTGAGCAGGTTCTCAGAAGCAGGTGAGTAGGGCCATGAGGACCAGGAGGGCAGTGTGGGCCGCCAGGCAGGGTGCAAAGTTTTGCGTGCGGGGCTGCTGGACACGTGGCCCCCGCTTCTGGCCGCCAGACCTGGCCTTCTGAAAATGCAGTTCCGGGATGATCCGGTGGATCCAGTCATAGTGGGAGGTAACCCGGATGTAGACACCTGGGCGGTTCCGGCGGGCACAGCCCTCACCCCAGCTGATCACGCCAGCCTGTAGCCACAGCTGGTCCACAAGGCACACCAGAGGGCCCCCCGAGTCGCCCTGCAGGGACAGCAGAGGCACCATCAGAAACTATACGGGCCTGAGAGCCAACAGGTACACAAGCACACACACCTGTTTTCCTCCCATCATCCCTACACCCCCCCCCCCCCCAACAATGTCCCTGCCCAGCACCCCTCACCCCAGTGTCTGGCCCTTTTTTGGCCTGGGTTGCCCATTTCTCTAGCATCTCCAGTCCACCTGCTCAGAGCAGTATGTTGAAATTGCATTTTTCCTGAGTCCCACTGCAGACCTACTGACACCTCTGGGTGAGATCCAGGAATCTGCTTTTCTGGGCTGACTACACATCTGTGGTCTGGACCACAGACCCACCTAGCGGGCCTCATGGGGCCGGGCTGGCTCTCACCTTGGCCTAGGCCTGGGCTCAGCCTCCATCACAGCCTATTCCAGCCCCTACCTTGCAGGCGTCCTTCTTGCCCTCCGCGAAGCCAGCACACAGCATGTCTTCCTTGATGGTTTTCACCTGAAGGCCAAACTCTGCGTCTTTGCTGTAGAGTAGGTTACACTTGGGCGTGTCAATGATGGGCATGGCGAGTTTCTGGAGGATTCGAGGGTTAGGCAAGCGGTCTGGGGAGGGGCAAACAGCCTCAGCTCAGCGGACAGTCCTTGAGAAGCACAGCTCCGTCCCTCCCTATTTTGTGCTTGGGTTTAGACCTCTCCTCACTTAGGGCTTTGTGAAACAGAATTTTCCTCCCCTATTCATGCACCAGGCTGGGTCCTTCCTTTTGTCTCTCTACTTCCCCATGCCTACTCCTGTATCTGCTGTCCCTTTCCCATACCAACTTCTCCCATTGGAGTGGAGATCATGTGTACCAGTGTCAACAGAAAAAGATGGTTGGTTCAGAGTGGCCCTCACCTGCCTGGGACCTTCTCTGTGGCATGTCCCCCATTCTTCCCTGATCCTGCCGCATTACCTTGCTCACTGGGGCTGCCCCAGCCGGTGGCCCAGCATTCCATGCCCGACTCAAAGATGACCGAGGTGTCAGGCATGCACACGGGGAGGATGTAATTGGTGAAGGTCACAGGTGTCTCCAGCTCCACCAGGGCCACATCGGCGCTGGAGGCCATGCCCTGGTACAGGGGGTTGCTTTCCACCCGCTTCACGCGTGAATATATGGTGTGTGGTCCCGGCTTCACCAACTGCCGCGCCCCCAGCAGGACCCGGTAGAAGGATGTCTGAGAGGTGCTGGAGGGAAAGAGCAGAGAGCTGGTGTGAGGCAGCCGCTCTGAGGTTTCAAAGGGGGAATGGCTGCAGGTTCGATGGAGAGGGGAAGGGAGGAGTTTGTTCGTTCCTCTGCTGCCAGACACCTTCCTCCTGGTCTCCAGGCCAGTGGCTGACATCTCTGCACAAAAACGTAATCTCCAGCCCTGGCCGGTATGGCTCAGTGGATAAAGTGTCGGCCTTCAGACTGAAGGGTCCCAGGTTCGATTCCGGTCAAGGGCATGTACCTTGGTTGTGGGCACATCCCCAGTGGGGGGTGTGCAGGAGGCAGCTGATGGATGTTTCTCTCTCACCGATGTTTCTAAATCTCTCTTCCTTCCATTCTGTGTGTGTATATATATATATATATATATATATATATATATATATATATATAGTAATCTCCAAGGGGACACACATCCGGGTGAGGTCGTTAAGGATGTATAAGCTAAAGCAGCTTTAAATTCTGATTTTAATTCCCAGGTCCAGCCCTGGCCAGCTGGGTGATGTTGAGCAATTCACCAATCAGGTTCCCTGTGACTCAGTTTCCTTGGCTGTGAAATGGGGACAATAAAAGGCTTGCTGTGAGGGGTGAAGGAGTTGACTGCCCGCAAGGGAGTGGCTGGGGCCCAGCCAACTGGGGGTTGGGCCCAGCCCTTCCCGTGAGCCTTGGGCAAGCGAACTACTCCCTCTGAGCCTGCATTGCTGAATTTAAAATGCAGAGCTGTGATGAGGCAAGAGCTAAGGTGCTTGGGAAACTGAAGGTCAGGGACCAGGTGACTCAGTGTAATAGCAGGGATGTGTAGCCTGGCCCCTCTGGTCAGGAATGACATGGGTGATCTTAGACAGGGTGAGGAGAAGGAAGAGACAATCTACTCCAGTCCTTGGGCTCATCTGTAACCGGAGTCGCAGCCGGAAAAGGGATCTGAGGTGTGTGAGGGAGGATCAGAACAGGGCCCCAGGTCTGGCCAAGCACATCACGAGTGAGACCAGCTGGGAACCTTCCAACTGGGCTGCAGGGAGCAAAGGCTGGGAGGCAGAGACGGAACCTGGACGTTAGTCTCCAAGTGGGAGACTGGCCAGAAAGGTGGGTCAGTGCTGGACAGGCAGTAGGCACTGTCCAAGGTGCTGAAACCTGGCTCTGTCAGCTGTGCCCCTGGTGTGGAGAGAGGCAGAGTGGACATAGGCAGTCGGTAGTGAGGGAGAATGTGTGTGTGTGTGTGTGTGTGTGTGTGTGTGTGTGTGTGTGTGTGTGTAGGGGGGGGCGTAGGGGGGCGGGGGGGACTTACTTGGAGAAGCAGTGTGCTGCAGTGAGGACCCACCGATCTGTGATGAGGCTGCCCCCACAGAAGTGGCTTCCATTTCGCTGGATGCTGACCTGCCATGGCCACTCGCCCTCCAAGGCATCCTGACCACCCACCATCCGGTTCAGCATCCTTGGGCGCCCGCAGACTAGGGGAACACAACCAGGGCAGCACTCACTTGAGGGTTGGTTCCATCAGTTGGTTCCATTACCTACTCCAACCTCACGTTCCAGCTTCCACTTTCTGCTTAATCCTGGGGTCTCCCTGTCTCTGACCTGCTCGGAGACTTGGGCAAGTCAGAGGCCTGGGCATCAGGTCAGCCTCTGACACAGGCATACGCTTCCAAGCTTTGGGAAAGGACCCCACCTCCATGGGCCTCAAACACCTCACTCATCAAATGGCGACACCATGAGGAAGGTTGAGGTAGCACATGTAGACGACCTGACAAACAGTGGCTCCTGAAAGCACAGTGTATGTTGGAAGGGCCTCACCTAGGGTGGGTGACCCTAAGGGAGTCTGTTATTGTTACAGCAGAACGATCTTCAGGTTCTATCCTTTGCTTCTCTCCTGTCACTTTTTCCTGCCCCATTTCCATGTTCCATGCCTCAATGTACAGATCTTCGTCCTGCCTGGGCTCCAATTCCATTGAGCCACAGTTTTCCCCTAAGAGTTACTTTGGGATTTCCCTTGCCCTGCCCTTCCCATTTATTCTGGGTCTCCTTCCGGGTGAGTGTGAGAGCCTCTGGCCAGTCTTGCTGCTATCAAGCCTACTGTTATCCCCCCACCCAAAGGTCTTGCTGCTTACCGTTCAATGCTTTGGCCATCTGAGTCCCTAAAAAGGAGAAAAGAGGGGATCATCAGCCAACTTTGCCAGAACAGTTTCTGCTCCTCCTTTCCCCTCTGATGGTCAGTGTGACCCTCCTTTGTTCCATACCCAGTCCCCTGAGGACAGTCCCCAAAGGGACCCAGCAGGAGAGGCCAGGTTATAAATTCAACTTTCCCCACAGGCCCTCACTTCAAGGTCTGCAGGCCCAGGCCTATGGGCCAGAGCTTATCTGCAAGGGCAGACAGTGTCCTTGCCGTGCAGGGAGCTAATCAGAAGATTCCCAGGAGGAGGCCATGTCATGGTTTGACTCTCCCTGAAGAGGTCACTTCCTCCACACCCCACACACATCCTTGTCTGGAAGCTCTAGGGAGGATCCAGCCTTCAGTCCTGATGCAGTGGGGTCTGCATTTCCCACTTTGGACAGCCTTGAGCTGGGATAAAGGAAGAGTCTCTGAGCGGCCTTTGCATTTCAGAGGTCTGGACGTTCTCACAGTCTGTTCCAAGGAGCATGTTTCCAATCTAATGTCAATCCCAAGGCCACAGCCCAGCCCACAGGTCTCTCTAGTCTCCGGGGAATGGAGCAAAGCCAGTCAGCAGTCATCGTGGGTTGGACTTCCCAAGATTCCAGGTTCCCAAGAGCTGACCCTTCATTCGGGCATTTTAGCATGCTCTGCAGTTGGAGCCCAAGACCCTCTGCTGGCCATGGCACCCTGAGGTGGGGGAGGTGAGGGAACAGTTAGAGGAATGAGGTAGAGCTGTTCTTGGGACCCATCTCCCCAGGACCCATTGCCCCTCACATCTCTGGACACAGACACAGAGCCTGCTGCTAGGTCTTTACAGGAACGTCAACCCCAGCCCTGAGACACCAGCCAGGCGATAGTCTCATCCAGTGCCAGCAACAATCGGGAAATATCTCCAGATTGGGGGGGTGGGGAGAGAAACCCTTCCCCTAGCATATCTGGTTCACTGGGGACAACTCTGACCAGAGCTGGGGTGAGTAGCTCAGGACAGCCTCTCCTCACCGCAGCCCTCGGAATTTCTCTGGTGTCTCAACTGCTTTCAGGGCATGGAGGGTGGGGAAGCTGCTACTGAACCTGTCCTCACTCAATCAGAATGGTAACCAGCCTCTTGAAGGTGAGAGAGTGGGGGTGGGGGGGTGGGGGGGTGAAGCACAGAGCTGAGCAATGCACCTCCATAGGGTGCCCCAGGAGGACCCCGTTTCCCTGAAAATAAGACAGTGTCTTATATTAATTTTTGCTCCCAAAGATGTGCTAGGTCTTATTTTCAGGGGATGTCTTATTTTTCCATGAAGAATACGGTACACATTTATTGTTAAATGAAAATAAAGGAAATTTATTACCTGTATACGGTACGGTAGTACGGAAGTTGTCAACACAAACCAGACAAACTGTGAATCCTACAGTATCAAGAATTTACTCATTTATTCAATGACAATCATCTCATCATCTTCTGGAACATCATCATAACAATCCAATTCCTGAATTTCCTGGTGAATTTCTTGTGACTCCATTTCTTTCAGAATCAGTGGACCAAATCTCTTATGTTTAGCCTACGGGGGGCCTTATTTTTCAGGAGATGCCTTATATTTCACTCAGAAGGAAACCTATAAGTAGGTCTTATTTTCAGAGGATGTCTTATTTTCGGGGAAACACGGTATATATTTTATTGATTTTTTTTTTTTTTTTTTTTTTTACAGAGAGGAAGAGAGAGGGATAGAGAGTCAGAAACATCGATGAGAGAGAATCATCGATCAGCTGCCTCCTGCACACCCCCTACTGGGGATGTCCCCGCAACCAAGGTACATGCCCTTGACCGGAATTGAACCCGGGACCTTTAGTCCGCAGGCCGATGCTCTATTCACTGAGCCAAACCGGTTTCGGTGACCCTGTGTTATTTTTATGGGATCCCCAGTCTTCCAGCCTAATCCAAGGCATGCACTCTCCATGCTGAGATGTTGGGGTTGGATGATGCAGAGAGCAGGAGGTGGGGAGAGCTATGGGTGTGGCGAGAAGAGGAGATAGACATGGGGGGGGTGCTGAGAAGGGACAGGCAGGACTGATCATTCTTCACAGTAGAAAGGGGCACCAAGCAGAAGTGCCAGGGCAAGAGTGAGACCAGCCTGGTCCAGTGGATGAAACAGGAAGTCTGTCCTGGACATCCTGCTCATGGATTCCTGTTACAAGTTGCCCTTTGAAAGTGCAAATATCCTCTGGGACTGCTGCTCCCTGTGGCTCCCTCATCCTAGCACAATATAATTTAGTCAGATTGGTAACTCCTGACACCCTGCTCTTTCTGAGGCCTGAAGCTTCTGCTTGCACATGATGCCCCAGTCCCCCGCCCCCACCCCCACGGCCCCATCTACTCACCAGCACTGATGTACCTGCATGCTTGTTTCCTGCCTGTGGGGATTTTTCAGAGCTTTGTCCTGGTTCTCCCCATAGCCACCCCCCTTCCCAAACATGCAGATGGACCGAGGGTCCACTCCCAGGATCAAGAGTGCATGCTGGTGGCCTGGCAGGACCCCTTTGAAGCTTTGCAGACTTCTTCACCCCAACCTAATGCAGCTCTGCTTCTCATGCCCACTGAGTCCTCCGGCTTCTGAAGGTTTGCTCACAACACATCTCTTCCCGGAGGCCCTTTACTTCTGGTCTCTATAGGTTCAAATCCTACAGGTCCTACTCCAGATGGAGGCATAAAAGCAATGCCACCTCCTCTGGGCAAGTCTCTCTCTCTCTCTCTCAATTAAATATATTTTATTGATTTTCCACAGAGAGGAAGGGAGAGGGATAGAGAGCTAGAAACGTCAATAAGAGAGAAACATCGACCAGCTGCCTCCTGCACACCCCCTACGGGGATGTGCCCGCAGCCAATGTACATGCCCTTGACCAGAATCAAACCTGGGACTTTTTAGTCCACAGACTGACATTCTATCCACTGAGCCAAACCGGTTTCGGCATGGGCAGCTCTCTTGCTTGCACTAGCATTTGGGAAGCCTAGCTCCCTCTCCAGAATGCTCAGTCTTCCCTCCAGGCCTCACAGGGCTCTGCCCACCTTGCTCATCCTGGAGGTAGCATTGCTCACCTCACCTGTTAGCCCAGCAGCTCCTTGAAAGCCCACATCCGGCGGCTTGAGCCCAGGGGATATAGAGGGACAGAAGGAGAGTGGCTACAGGGGCTGGGCTGACCAGGAAGGGGTGGAGGCCTGGGCTCTGCAGGGTGGGTGTCCTGTCAGGAGCTGGGTGAGCTGGCCGTGGGGTCAGGCCCCTTGTCTGGGTGCAGGGTCCCCATGCTCCTCAGCGGGTGGGGGCTTGGCTGTGGGGATGGCAGCTCCAGGAGGAAGAGCTAGAGGTGAGGGTGAGGAGGGTGTTGAAGAAGTCAGGCCTCTGGTCACAGCTGTTTGTGAGTCAAATGCAGGCCTCTGTTTCCACTGGCATTGACCTTGATTACTCAACCCATCAGGAGCCATCACTGTGCTAACTCTGTCTGACGCCTGACGGAGCTGGGCTCCCTCAAAGGATATTGTTATTCCTATGCCAGGAGGCCAGACGTGGAGGCCTGGGGGGCCGAGAGAGGCTGGCCCTCCATACCCCAGTGCCACCCTGGTGGGAGGCCTAGGATGACCCGGCCTGGCCCGGGGAGGTGATGTGAGGACAGGGAAGTGAGGCGGTGGCTGGACTGGCCAGGCTGGCCCAGGAATGTGGGGAGATTTTCCTAGTAGAGAGTAGCCCGCCCACCAGGAAGGGCCTGGCAAGGGGGTTCCCCTGCTGGCACCTGCTGACCCCAGCCCAGGGTCTGAGGAGGGTCCAGGGATGCAAGGCTTCTCCCATACCCTTTCTGTCTAGTGGGCGTGGGAGCCTGCTCCCCACTCCATCCCCACCAGCGTCCAGGGCTCCCGGGCTCAGGCGGCACTCTGCCCTCTGGAGGCCCAGCCGATGGCCATTCAGGGATTTGGAACCCAGGGGCCCTGAGGTCAGGTCCTGGATTCAAGCAGCCTGTGTCTTCATACACAGGCAGAGAGAGGCCAGATGCGGAGAAGCAGAGGCAACAAGCCCAGAGCTTGGCCAGTGAGTGCGGACACAGTGGGGGGAGGAGAGCAAAGGGCCTGCCCGTGTGGCTGCCTCTTGGGCCTGTGCCTACCCCCATCCCATCCCACCTCCCCCTCTTCACTTCCCCAGGTGGGACATCCAGACTTTCCCGCCTGCCTGTGCTGCAGCCCCAGGCCTGGCCAGCGAGCCGGGCTTAGCTAGAGCTCCAGGCAGGGCAGCGGAGGCCCCTCCGGGAGGGGAGGAGAGACTTCCTGCAACACCCGGACTCACCACACAGAAGCAGTACCAGCAGGAGCAGGGCCACAGCTGGAGGTCGCCTCATGATGTCAGGCCTGGCAGGGGCGCCGGGCGGGGGACAGCAGGGACGGGATCCAGAGCACCAGTGTGAGGTGCTGGCCTCCATGAAGTGGGGTTTTATGCTGAAGGTGAGTGTCAGCTTGGCTATGCCACCCAACCTGTTGGCCCAGCCTGCCCAGCTCCTGTTGGAAGGAAGGAGGCACTCCAGAACCCCAGCTCCTCCGTGACCTGGCCCTGAACCCCCTGAATCCCAAGAGACCAAGCCCTTCACCCTGACACCTTAGGGTTTTGGAGTAAGGCTGCAGCTGCCCAGGTTTTCCACCTGCCAGCCCGAACTGACCACAAACACCCCACACCTGACCACAGTTCGCACATAGGCAACTTGACTGCAATCCACCCAGGAGAATTTCCCTGTTTCATTCATCCATTTTTTTTTTTTTTTTTTTAAATACATTTTATTGATTTTTTTACAGAGAGGAAGGGAGAGAGATAGAGAACCAGAAACGTCGATGAGAGAGAAACATCGACCAGCTGCCTCTTGCACATGCCCTACTGGGGATGTGCCCGCAACCAACGTACATGCCCCTGACCGGAATCGAACCCGGGACCCTTCAGTCCGCAGACCGACGCTCTACCACTGAGCTAAACCGGTTTCGGCTCATTCATCCATTTTTTTAAAAAATATATATATTTTATTGATTTTTTACAGAGAGGAAGAGAGAGGGATAGAGAACCAGAAACATCGGTGAGAGAGAATCATTGAACAGCTGCCTCTTGCACCCCCCCCACTGGGGATGTGCCCACAACTAAGGTACATGCCCTTGACCGGTATCGAACCCGGTACCCTTCAGTCCACTGGCCGATGCTCTATCCACTGAGCCAAACCGGTTCGGCTCATTCATCCATTTGTTCATTCATTCATATTTATGAGCACCTACTGAGTGCCAGGCATCAGTGAGCCGGAGTCCGGGCTGGGGCTTACATTAATGTGTGTGTGTGTGTGTGTGTGTGTGTGTGTGTGGTGGGGGTGGGGGTGGGGGTGAGGGTGACGGAGGGGGTTGGCAGGGAGAAGTCCAGGCCACCTGCACTTTTGCAACAAAGATCAGCGGGGGGAGGAGTCCAGACGTGGCTGGGGTGTCCCCACCTGACCCCGGTGCCTCTCACGGGCTCCCCTTTCCCCAGGAAACTGGGTGCCGGAAGCGCCCACCCAAACACGCTGCTCCAAACACATCCCAGGGTGGCTGCACCCTCCTCTCCGGGACCGGGCTGGGAGGCGCTTCCTGGAACCGCGGGGCCGGCGGGCGGGGCGGAAGCCGGTCTGGGAAGGCGGCCGGTGGCCGTCCCTGCGCCCCTCCCTGGGTGCGGCCGCCGGCCGGGCTCCGGACGTGCGGCCGGAGCGAGGAAGCGGCGGAGGAGGAAGCTTTTGCAGCCGGGCTGACGTCAGAGCGGGGTCGGAGTGGGGTGGCGCGGGGTCAGGGTGGGGGCGCTGGTCCGCAGGCAGAGCGCGATGGGCATGTGTGGGCTGGGGGTGC